CCTTCTGAGCTGGATGCCCAGAATTTATTTTCAACATCTTTGAGTTTTGATTAATTTTTAAGTGGGAATTTTGAGGATGTGAAGACAAAACACATAGGAAAAAATTTAAAAATCATTTAGTGTTAACATTTTCATCCATTTAAAATATTGTGCCATAATTGTTTTGGCAGTGTTATAAGGTGAAATAAAATTTGGGATTCATAATAATATCAGTTCTTTTAAATATGGAAGGTCTCATTTTAATGCTGAACTTGCATTGCTTTCTGAATTTATATGGTTTCTCATTTTTCTGATAAAAAAAGAAAAAAATGTATAAAAGTTTTTGTCCCTTTAAAAATTTTTTGTTTTTTAAAAATGTGACCAGGAAAAAAGAAAATGTGATCAGGATTCAACTAATTTGTATCAAATCCCAGTAAATGTGTTCTTTTGGTTTCAAGATACCAAGCACGTGTGTATGATACGGTCTACAGAAATACTCTCTCAAACCCAGTTCATTGAAGTGAATCTGAAGTGCAAAAGCAATTCTTCCGGTGTTCTCCATCTAGCAGTAGTAGGAAGTCTTCCAGAGGTTAAAAAACTGGAGATTAGCAACATATCAACTTTCAGGTGGCCTCTCCTAAACACTTGTAATTCACTTACTCTCCGGCAAATCATTATTCCAAAGGTTTGATTCACTTGTAGCCCCACTTGGATCTTAAATTGCACTTCGAAGCACTCCTATCCTTCATCCATTTTCAGAACTGCCATTAGAAGTGATGGGAATTTGGCACAAAAATCAATGAAAGGATATGATATGATTTCGTTCTAATTTTTCCTTCTTTGAGATCCATCTCAAGTACAGTCTGTGAAATCTGTTTTTTAAAGGTATTTTTCCATCTTGCTATCATTTCAACTTAATTGAGTTCATGACCTTGGGATATGTATTCACATAGCTTTTCAGAAAAGAAAGGAGATTTGTTGTTGCTATTGTTAATTTCTACCTAACATCATTTCAAAATCTTAATTAATTCATTTTCCCATTGATCCCCTCATCAGCTTTTTAATCTCTCAAAAATATGGGGCTAAATTACTATTGTCACCTAAAAATGGTTGTATTAGTTATGTTTGGTTATTATTAATACCTACTAATTATACACTTGAATGTATTTGATTTTCTTTTTCCTAGTCAGTGATAGGATTTTATTGCACTTATTTTTATCAAGAGAAGGATAGTACTACTTATTGGTAAAGAAACAAATTTAAAAAGTAACACTTTATTAACTAAAGTACTTAATTTTGCATGCAATATTTTCATTTCTTCCCCCAATAACTAAAAATTTTCATATGAACTGGATTCAAATTCTAAGCACCCTGTGTACACAGCTGTTAGAAGTTTCAAAATTTGTCTTTCTAGTTTAACAAATCCGTTGAAACTGTAAACATTTGTATTGTAACAAAATAACTTTATTTGTTATAGATCATCTCTCTTGATTTGTTAATGGGGCAAAACATTCTCCATTAATATGAATAAATTACAGTATGTGTCCTTCTTGTCTATCACAAGAAGTAAATTAGTTGATTAAGAAAGTCATTGAAGGAGTCATAACATCCCATTTTGACTCCCTGAAAATATCTTAGCCTAACATACACGCTTATTAAAAGAAAAAAAAATGCCTGCATTTATTGAAGAATTAGTCTTTCAATTTCCACCATTGTTTTTGAGGTTAATCTTGCCCTTCTGGCCTTTCTTTACCATTTTAGTAATGGTTGTACTAGCTGCGGAGGGGGCAATAAAAGTAACGATGATGGTGATGTTGATAATAAAGATATAGTTTAGTAGCTGTTGTGTTGCCATTTATTGAATAATTCGATGCAGCAGGAAATTTGCCAAGCAATTTCTCGACCATCATAAACCTGTAAGTCGAGTCTCACTAACCTCATTCCTCAAATATAGAGGTTTTCCACTCAGAGGTGAGGAGCAGTAGTGACCTTCTAGCCAGGAAGTTAATCTCCATCTCTCTCTCCTGTCTATAAAAGCTCTGGCAGACCTGTTTTGCTTTACTGTTTCCATGAAAAATCTAGACCTAACTGAAAGGAAAAATTGTACAATGTAGAGAAAGAGGTTGAAAGATTGAAAGGAACACTTTAATTCCACTCTGCAGCCTTCAAGGCATACAAACAATTCCCTTCAGTTTGAAAATACTAAAACCTTTCAGCTATTATTTAGCACATTCTAAAAGTAACTACAAGTAATCTTTCCAGTTAGGTGAAATTTATTTTGTGTGAAGTGTCAAAAGAGTATGAAAATTTGGAGTTTGTTTTTTTAGTTTGAAAATGTAATTTAGAGGTAAAAACTAAAATAGAAAATGGTTAATTGTTGGGGTGCTTGGGTGGCTCAGTCTGTTAAACATAAGACTCTTGATTTTGGCTCAGGTCATGATCTCAGGGCTGTGAAATCGAGCCCCATCCAGCTCTGCACTGGGCGTGGAACCTGCTTAAGAGTCTCTCTCGGGGCGCCTGCGTGGCTCAGTCGTTAAGTGTCTGCCTTCGGCTCAGGTCATGATCCCAGGGTCCCGGGATCGAGCCCCACATCAGGCTCCCTGCTCAGCGGGAAGCCTGCTTCTCCCTCTCCCACTCCCCCTGCTTGTGTTTCCTCTCTTGTTGTGTCTCTCTCTGTCAAACAAATAAAATCTTAAAAAAAAAAAAAAGATCTTCTCTCTCCCTCTCCCATCATCCATAAACCCCCCTCAAAAAAAAAAAAAGGAGAAAAAAGGAAATAGTTAGTTGTGTATATTAGAAGATGATTAATAAAAATTTCCTTTTGTGATATGCAATTCTTAAATTATTATCAATAATGTGGCCCATAATTAAAATATATGAAATATGTTGTTAAGCTGTGATTCTGGCAAAAATATTGGAATATTTTTAGAATAGTCCAATTTGGAAAAATAGAGATTTTTTTTCTCTTTAGTATTCAATATATACATATCTGTGTAATTTGAGATTGAAAATGCTATGAGAGTCACTTGAATATTCCGGTTGGTTTTGAATTGTTCTTAAATGTAACATGAAACAGTTGTTTCAGATGATTTCTAAGTTACCCCTAGAGTTAACTTTCTATGAGTCCAGGATTGTCAATATAATCAGATGTGCCTACTCTCCGTGAGAGCAGCTTGCTAGTCATACAAAGGCAGCAACTTTGCAGAAATAAAATGAAAGAGTTACAAAATTCTTAACCGCTCTGTATATAAAAACACCTCAGAAAGAAAGAGGTAGGGGCGCCTGGGTGGCACAGTCAGTTAAGCATCCAACTCTTGGTTTCAGCTCAGGTGGTAATCTCAGGGTCGTGAGATCGAGCCCTGTGTCAGTCTCCACATTCAGTGTGGAGTCTGCTCAAGTTTCTCTCTCCCTCTCCCTCTGCCCCTTCCTCACCCCAGCTTGCACACTCTCTCTCAAATAAGTAAAATAAATCTTAAAAAAAAAAGAAAAGAAAGAGGTAAACAGTTGAGGGGAAAAATTGCAACTTCAGATAAAATTTTACTCTCGTGTGTGTTTGTGTATATACATACATTAATACACTCTTGCAATGAGTATAAATGTGTAAATATGTATAAATACATATACATGCATACACATGGATATTTATATATACATATATCTATGTAAAAATATATACATACATATGATAGGGCACGTGTATATGTGTATACAGTTTTTTAAACCACCAAATGGAGGTGGTTTATAGAAAAGCAAACAAAAAATTTCACAAGATAAAATATGTAAAGGGAAAAAAAACATACAAAAACTCATCTCTAGTAATCAAAGAATTACAAATAAAGCAGAATTTTCTTCCTACGTGATTGCAAATAGTTTGAACACTGGTAACACCCAGTGTTGCCAAGGATAAGAAAACAGAGACTCCTGGCATGTAAAAATTTCAAAAAATACTAATTTTCAAATATATATATATACTCTCATAAAATGTAAAAGTGATGCTGTTTGTCCCAGAAATTATATATTTAGGAAAGTCCCCTAAAATAAAAATTATTAATGTGCTGAGAAAAATTCTGCCATGTCCCAAGGTAGAAAGCTTTTTGACTAAATTATGCATAGCCATGAAGTGACATGCCATGCAGCCACTTAAGTGGTATTTTATGGAATACATCCGGCAAGAGAACATGTTTATAATATATTGCCTAGTACCAAACATAACAGAAAGAGTGATGATGACTTCAAAAACAAATAAAACATATTTATATATTTATACGTATGTACAAAAAAGTAGGTATAAGTAGAACATGTGAACAGTTGTTTCTGGGTCATGAGATTATAAGTGATTATTTATTTATTTTGCTATTTTTTAATATTTTTTTGAATTTTCTTCCGTAAACATGTAGACCTTTGAAAGCAGGAATAAAAAGTTTACTGGATATAATAAGATTTTCCAACATCTTTCCACAGAAGATCACTTAGATCTTCTGTGCCCCTTCTCAAATAAAAATGAATGGGGTCAATAGAAGGGTCAATTGTACAGTTAAACCAGGATATCCAAAAAGGATTTCATCCATTTGAACTACTTCATCATTGATTTTGTTTCTCCCTCAGAGGAAACATTTTTGCTTGCATTCAGAACTGACATGTGAACCTAAATAAAGGAAAAAGGTGTTAAAAAACAATTTGACCAAAAGCCCATTGCCTTTGATGGTAGTGGATGTAGGAGGTGGTAAGGGAGAAGTAAAAAATGATTGAAGGTGATGGCAAAGTTTGTGGCTTCCATGGTATTATTTACAGCGCTTAGGAGAGGAGGAATGCTAATCACTAGGGCATGTGGATTTGAGTCAAGGGTAAATACTGGGGTAGTGGGCAGAAAGTGTGGCCCTGCCACTAAAGAGGTGTGCTCTACTATAGAAAATAGTACAAACAACTTAAATATACTTATATAATCTGTGTGGGGTTTTTTGGTCATCAACATTTGACAGGAAGTTCCAAATTGTAATTCTTCTTTCTGAATGTTGGATTAGGAAATGCATCAACTACCACAACTGTGATCGACAGCAAAAATGGATCGGTGCCCAAATCCCCTGGAAAAGTGCTGAAGAGGACAGTCACAGAGGACATAGTGACAACATTCAGCTCCCCAGCAGCCTGGCTTCTAGTCATTGCTCTGATAATCACATGGTCAGCTGTTGCTGTTGTTATGTTTGACCTAGTGGATTACAAAAACTTTTCAGGTAAGATACATGAAATGTGGGTATTGCATGAAAAGAAGCAATGTCCTTCCCTCCTGTCTTCGTTTCTTTTCATCTCACCTTCGTGTGAGAAATAAAGCGCCCCACAAACTGCCTGCTTGTCAGTGAAGTCTGGTTTCCTTCTTCCCCATTTCCTTCTATTCTTCTTTGCCTGTTGTAGTCAGTGATTTCAAACGAAATATATTTCCATATTTGTAATGCCGAACACAAGCTGAATGTTGTTTCATGAAGATAATGATTAAAAAGTTTTTCATTTGGAGATTTGGTTTGGGAACAGGGACTTTATCAATTTAAAACCAAACCAAACCAAATAAAAAACTTTTGGACAAGTGGGAAGTTGTGTAAAGCATTTTTAAGTCCCTCTACCATCTGGCTCCAAGTTTCCTTTCCAGACGTTCTCTTTGCTCCTCCCATCAAAACATCCTATTTTGAGTTCTTGAAAATAAAGAGTGTGAAAAGGATTTTCCCAGAATTACTTGTAATGAGATACTACATCTTGAGTGGCCATGTGTTCTTACGGGTTTGGAGTAAAACAGGAATAATGCAAGTGAGGAAAGACAGATTTTCATTATGGCCCTATTCAATCTTTGAGTATACTGTTTATCTCTTTGTTCAAGGTATTTTAACACTTTTAAAATTATATTTGTCTATTTCCACATCTGACATGCTCTATTGAGTGTGAGTTCCTTAAAGGAAGGACTCAGTCAGGTGTGTAATAAATATTAAATACATGAATAAATTTATCTTTTTTACCATAAGAAAAACCATTTCATTAAGCTCTTAATGTGCTCCTACATATTTGCACCATTCACCCCCACTTCCCATTTTCTTTCTCCAATGGGAGTGGAATCAGTAGGAACCAGAAACTATAAAGACTATAAGTTGCATTCTGTACAGTCATGGATCTTCAACTTCTTTTTTTTTTTTTTAAAGATTTTATTTATTTGACAGAGAGAGACACAGTGAGAGAGGGAACACAAGCAGGGAGAGTGGGAGAGGGAGAAGCAGGGCTCCTGTGGAGCAGGGAGCCCGATGCGGGGCTTAATCCCAGGACCCTGGGATCATGACCTGAGCGAAGGCAGACGCTTAACGACTGAGCCACCCAGGCACCCCTCCTCTACTTCTTATTATGGTATTATACTCAATCAGCAATTATTTATCAAGAACCTACTATATGTCCCAAGCAATGGCTACACTGAAAGAAATACAAGTATAAATATTGCAAAGTCATAGAACTGGATCATTTGGGTGTATTGACATGGCGGTGTGATTGAGATGATTCTTCCTGCAGTACCATTGGTAGCTGTGCTAAAGTGAACACTATCTAACAGGTAGAGATAAGTCCCATGATGTCAATGAAAGAAAAACACTATTCAGAACTGTGAACCTCTTCTCTAAATAAGTAATACTTTGTGTATACTGTGTAATGGAGGCTTTTGAAAGGATATACAATTGAAATGTCTATAATATAAAATTACGACCTAGAGTTTTAAGTGAAAACTTGGTTATATGACTCTAGATGATTTTATTTCCCTTGAACCTATATCAATGGTGATATTTTGTCTATTCTTTCCTTTTCTAGCATTTCATTCATTTACATTTTGGAACCAAATATGATTGTAAAATACTGTCTTTAAGTTTTACAATAGATATATTTTAAGAATTGCTTATAAATTTCATATTTATAAAGTTAATAATTTAATAAGTACACCACAGAAATTACTATTACAAGGAATTTGTTCTTAATTATTTTATAAAATGAGTAGCTACCTGTAATTAGACTTTCAGATTAGATTACTTAAATGTAAGACATACTTACAGTCCATGGTAGAGCTTCCTTGGACTGCTATAATTAGGTGTTATTGATAATGCCTATGTTACTGGTATTTCATCTCAACGGGGGAAAAAAATAGCCTCTGTATTACTGCTTCTTCATTTCTTCTTTCAAGGAGTGTTTATTAGGCACATCTGTGTGAGGCCTCCTCCACCAGTTTCCTATATTTATTAGTGACCTAACCATCTATCCATTCCCCACAAAAAGAAACCTGCAAGTCATCTTTTAAGTCTGCTGGACACGATCAATCACCATGCTGGATGCCAGCTAACTCTCATATGTCTCATGAATGCCCTCCCTTCTCTGGTTACCACTGTCTCCATTATTACATTTCAGACCTTGATTCTCTGTTGAGGGTACTAATGCAATTTCTTCTTGCCTCCCTCTTCCAGTGTCTCCCCTTAACTGTTGCTCCAAAGGTATCTTCATAAAACATAAATTTCACCAAGTATTTCCTACTGCCAAAGTATAAATTCCTTGGCATGAAACTCAAGTCCTTGGCTTAGCTCTCTCTTTTCATCTTGTAATTCAGCTCATGCAACCTGATTTCCAGCCATCCTTACTATTGCTTTTCCCTGCTTTCTTTCCCTAGGAACACATATATTCTCACTTTTCCTTGCCTCTGCTCATACCATCCTCTGCCCACCCTCTCACCCCCCAACCAGAAAGTGTAGTAAATTGGTGAAAAATGTGAAATCTGGTGCTGGGTTTCCCTGGTATTAAATCCAGATCTTAAAGCCTCCTACCTGTGTGATATTGGGTAAATCATATGGCCTCTCTTTGCCTTAGTTTCATCATCTATAAAGTGGGGACAATAATAGTAGTTATGTAATAAAATTGTGAAGAGAATTATATAAGTGAATATATTTGAAGTGCTTAGAACAGAACCTGCTTTATCACAAACACTGCATAAATATTAATATCACTAATAAAGATTCAGTCCTCCATTTTCTTGAAGGATGAATTCATCCTTTAAGACTTACTCCCTTCTTTGGTAAAACAGTCTCAGATTTCCTAAGAAAAGTTCACTGCACTGTGATTTCATTCCCTTAGTACCTTATGGGTAGCTGTATTCACAGCAGTTAACACACTGTATTATCAGTATCTTTTTACTTGTCTGTTTCACTCAGAAACTTAAACTTATATGAGGAAGGGACTGTCTTATTCACCTGTCCATGAGTGCCTGTCATGTAGTAAGTTTTCTGCTCTCCATTTCTTACAGGATACATAATGTTGACATTTTGATTTTGAATAATTTCTTATATTATGAAGAAAAAATATCATAAAATTTTTATTTCATCCATTTTTTGACCAACTCTAAAAATTAATACATTTATAAAATCAGAATTAAAAATAATAAAATATGTTTATAAGATGAAATGTTACTTGTCATATTTTGTAATGGTCATCCATTGCTACATATTAAATTACTTCAAAAATAAATGGTTTAAAACAACAATAAACGTTTATTATGCCAAACAGTTTTTGCAGGTCAAGAGTTTGGGAAAGGCTTATATCTTGTGGTTGCAGTAAAGAAGTTGGCTGGTGATGTGGTGATGTAGACATCTGAAAGATTTTCTGTGGTAGTGGAACCATTGGCAAGATGTCTCATTCATTTGGCTGTCAAGCTAATGCTGGTGTGTCTTCACAGCATGGCAACTGGCTGCTCTCAGATCCAAGAGAACAAGGCAGAAACCACAAAACCTCTTATGATCTAGACTTGAAAATCACATACAGTCAGTTCTGCAAAATCCTTTTGGTTATGCAGGTCAACCCTATTTGTTGTCCTAAGAGACTACATAGTGGTGTGAATACCAGCAGGCAGTGATCATTAGGGGCCAATTTGAAGGCTGGCCACCACCTATTCTACTCTCAGGAAATTATTTTACCAAGCTATACAGCTTTAGATAAATACTTAGATATAAGGAAATGCCATACAATACTCTAGCAGACAAAAAGTTATTGTAATTACAATAGGTGCAAAAAGAAAGATGATATATTGGGATGACTGGCATCATGAGATCACATCTAGGAAGATAAATGTCCAGTGAATTTGAAATGAAAAAAAAAATCACAAAGCTGAAATTCTAAAGAACACATATATAAATTCTTCAAATAAGAAGTGCAAATACTTTTTGCTAATTCAGGTTTGAATATGCAATTTCTGAAACCAAAATAATGTAAGTTCAAAGACTGTATGATTACAGCATAAAACCTGTAACTCATATTAACCATTGGTTGCATGGGATATATACACTCATATTAAAATTTTAATTTCTTTTCTCCACTTAGTAAATTCTAACTTGCCTTTCTTATGTTGATTCTTCACAGAAAAAATAATCATTTGCTTCAATAAGAGTGTCAAAATGTAAATGGTACTCTTATGTTATAATGTTATTTTTAATTGATATATTTCAAATATTTACTAAGGTTTAATATTATTATGATGAGTCTTTTGCATTACATACTGTCTTTGAAATATGTATTTTTAATACAAGGCTAGTGATAAGAGAAAGCATACTGGGAATAACTCTGAAGACCAGACAGGGCAGCTGTCCCTGGGCTCTAAATTACTCTCTGGCACTTTAGAAAAGTAGGTAAACACTTTTAAGTCATTATGAAATTGTTCATAGAGAATAAGTGAATACTGTACTGGATCGAGAATAATGATTCTCTTCTAGGCAACCTTGACACTTCCTAATTTTCTGAATTTGATATTATGTACCCAAATAATCTACCTGTGAGGCATATGTAGAATTGGCTTTTATGTGCTTCTTTCAGAAGACTTGAGTTCATTTTACAGCTCTATAACCTACAAGCTAACATGACTAGGAACTTAGTGTCCTTGCCTGTCAAATGGGAATAGCCCCTTGCTTTCTGGTCAGCAAAATTTGTGACTTTGCTTCTTCCTATCAAATGAGACAAATTTTAGGACATCAACAAACAAACAAACAAGAAGGAACACCAAAACCAGATACTAGAAAAGAGATTTCACCTACCCTTTATTTCTTCCTAAAAATAAAGTTCACTCTCCAAAAATAATATGGTATATCTGTCAGAATTTGATCAGAGTAGAGTTACTATGAGTGATATAGAATAGAAGATTTAATATATGGCTTATGCATTCATGAGAGTTGATTAGCAGTCT